TTTGTAAGAAGAACACTCTAAGTGTTCTTACATAAAAAGGTCAGAGAATTAACTAAAATAATAGAGGCCATGCGTTTACCACTATGCTTGGTACATAGTGCTCCTACAGAGCAGCTTTCAATAAGTACTTCTCTTATTTTACTACGACTATAACTACTACTACTATTACTACCACTATCTTAAACAAATCAACAGCAAATCATGTCTGATAGGTTAAGGACTTAAGCAAGGTAAAATGCAGTCCAAAATATTGGCATGTTTCGAACATGGCACCTCCTGGAATTCATGACATGTCATGATCCAAGGTAATTGTACTCTGAAAGACTGAGAGAATTTCTGAAATGCATCCCTGGGTCCCAAGGCATTCTGGGGATCCCCACGAGTCCTCCGTTATTATCCTATCCCCAGGTACCCTCTCCACTGAGATACGCTCCAGTTGCAGACCAGCTTTGTAGCTCAATGGTTTCACACATTCACTGAGAGCCCAGGAAAGGATTTCTCTTATTTACTGGGATATACAATTTGGTGTGTACATAAACAGCTTTTCCTCATTCCTCAAACCATCTCCCTAGTCTATTACGAATTATGACAGGCATCCTGAAAAAGGAACACTCATTCTAAAGAGAATAAGGAGGTGTTTCACAAGAGTAAAGGAAAGAGCACTGGATTAAAGTTTAGACTCTACTGTTGATTTAGTGTGGATGTCTTAAGATCTCTGGCAAGTTTCCTCCCTTACAAAATAGAAGTTATATCTACTCAGTCAACTTCGCAACACTGGCATGCAGGTCAAGTGAAAAAACATAGAAGCACTGTATAAGTGCCAAATACTTTATAAGATATTCATGATATCACTATATGGGCCATCATTTTTCTCAAAGGATGAAAGAGACCTATAAGATTTTCCAAATTCGAAAAATATCACTTATAGCATATAATTTTCTTCATCATCACTTTTTTTAAAATCACTTTTACCACTTCTCAGAGCTATTCTGGGGATTAAACAAGATCACATTTTTGTTTATTTATTTATTTATTCATTTTGGTATTTTTAATTAGAGAGAGTGCATGGGGTGGGACGGGGCAGAGGGAGAAAGAGAGGGAATCTTAAGCAGGCTCCATGCTAAGCACAGAGCCCAACACTGGGCTCAGTCTCACAACCCTGAAATCACAATCTGAGCCGAAATCAAGAGTTAGACACATACCCAACTAAGCCACCCGGGTGCCCCTAAACAAGATCATGTTTTAAATGGAAATACTAGCTTTGTGCAGTGGCAGTATGGTAGTCAATGAGGTTTATCTGAGGCGTGATTATTGCTAATTAAATGGAAATACTAAATTCAGCCTGAGGTAATAACAATAATATTCATAGAATCCATACTACGTGCCAGGCATTATGCTTGGAATTTTATATGCCTACTCCTATTCAGTTTCTTAAAACAGCACTTCATATGAAAAAGCTCAGTTGCCCCTGTTATGCTCATGAGAAAATTAAGATTCAAAGGGACTTAAATAACTCACACAAATCCTCACAGTCAATGTCAAAGCTGAGATTTGGGGCGCCTGGGTGGCTCAGTTGTTAAGCATTGGCCTTTGCCTCAGGTCATGATCCCAGGGTCCTGGGATCGAGCCCTGCATCAGGCTCCCTGATTGGCGGGAAGCCCGCTTCTCCCTCTCCCACTCCCTCTCCCCCTGCTTGTGTTCCTGCTCTCGTTGTCTCTCTGTCTGTCAAATAAATAAATAAAATCTTAAAAAAAAAGAAAAAAAGCTGAGATTCGAACTCAGGTCTGTTCCTCTCAGCTATATGGCCAAGGCGCATTCTTCGTTCTCTTCTGAATACCAGCTTCATGGGGCTAATAATGGCATTGTGAACCTATAGGGACGTCCTTAAATAGGACAACCATCTATCTGTAAATACTAAGGACCTATAAGATTTTGTGTAAATAGGGGCGCCTGGGTGGCTCAGTGGAGCCTTCGGCTCAGGTCATGATCTCGACGTTCTGGGATCGAGTCCCGCATTGGGCTCTCTGCTCAGCAGGGAGCCTGCTTCCTCCTGACTCTCTGCCTGCCTCTCTGCCTACTTGTGGTCTCTCTCTCTGTCAAATAAATAAATAAAATCTTTAAAAAAAAAAGATTTTGTGTAAATAACTATTTAAGCATTCTTCAATAGTCATTATTTCAATTCCTACCTTCTATAATACCAATTATTTTTGCATCATCTTTATCTAGCAATTAGGATAAACACTCTGCCTGACCACATATATTCAAATACCCATATACACAAGTTTGAGAATCATATATAATATCCAAATACACATCTTTGGATGTACTATATCTTAATGACACTAAAAGAGTTGCGTTGATTTTGAAATACACTTGGCATTCAAAGACAGAAAAAAATAAAGGCGAAGTTATACAAGATAAAGGAAAGAGCACAGATTTAGGCCAATCTGGGCTTATAAATTCCAGCTCCACCAGTTACAAATTTTTTGACCTGACAAAGTCGATCACTTATTAGAGTTTCTATTTCTTTATCTATAAAATGAGAATACTAGCACATACCCCACCTGGCTGTCATAAAACTTTAATTTAATAGTACAAAATGTGTACTAGGATTGAGCTAGGTAACTTTTCTCTTCTATGCCAGTAAGAGATAGCAATATGACAGTGTTCACAAATGAGGCCATGAGGAAATAGTTTCACGGTTGCAGTAAAACTAAATAACCTATCGTATACCTGTTTAGAACACCTGTGCCCAGCCACACCTACAAAGAAAATGAAAGACCAGAAAAGTATTTCCCCAAAGAATTCATGGAAAGTGTAACTGTGACACAGCCCAAGGCTCATTAGCACAAGGAGAGTACGTGGACCAGATTTGTAAAACAAAATGTGTACTGGGGAGTAGAAACATAAAGCTACTTTCTTCCTTACCCTCAGCTTACCCCAGCAGACTGGGACCTTGTCATTCAAAGACACAGTTAGGAGAGTGGTTAGAAGTACCGATCATGGGTCGTCTGGGTGGCTCAGTTGGTTAAGCGACTGCCTTCCGCTTATGTCATGATCCTGAAGTCCCAGGATCGAGTCCTGCACTGGGCTCCCTGCTCGGCAGGAAGTCTGCTTCTCCCTCTGACCTCTCTCCTCTCATCCTCACCTCTCTCATTCTGTCTTCTCTCTCTCAAATACATAAATAAATAAAAATCTTAAAAAGAAAAAAAGAAAAAAAAAGAAGTACCGATTATGGAGTCAGATGGATGGAGGTCCAAAGTCTGACCCTCTCACTCACTAGTTAAATGACCAGGGAAGTTGCATAACCTCTCTAATCATAAATTTCCTCTCGGGAATAACAATGATAAACTCAGGAAAATATCTATTTATAAGGTAGTACAGAAGGAAATGAAATTCACATGTAAATCTCTCAGCACATACATAATAAGTAAAGAAGCACTTATACCTTAATGATGATGATGGTAACTGACATGGAAGGTTTGCTGCCTGAATGATACTCAGAACCTACAGTCCTAGGGATTTGAGTCAATGTAAAAAAACAAAACAAAACAAAAATCAAGGAGTGCCTTTCTGGGCTGGAGTAAACCAATGGTGTCTAGAGTCATTTAGATAGCCCATCCTTCCCTCAAAACTCCCAGCCCAGCCAGGAGTCCTGGACAGTCAAAGTTACTCCTAGGTGGTGTAAGAAGTAAAGGACCCAGCTCAGCTCCAAACCTGCTCCATAGGTAATTCTGAAACTTTGGGTCAAGGTTTGGAAAATCCCAAACCCCACCGATAAACACTGTCAACCAAATGGTTTATTTCCAGAAACACTTCAACAGATTTGCCCTCAGGGAAATGAAAGTCCCACATCTAAAATTGGGACCCAGAGATCCCTTGTGAACTCAACACGTCAGTCCTCCCCTTCTGCACCCTCCCAATACAATTAGATGGTTGTCTCTATGATTTTTACATTTATGCCCTTGTTAAAATTCCCAGGGGCTTGCTTTCAAATATGTTGATGTTGTTTGACTTTAAAATAAAAGATTAGTATTAGGGCGCCTGGGTGGCTCAGTCAGTTAAGCCTCTGCCTTTGGCTCAGGTCATGATCCCAGGGTCCTGGGATCAAGCTGGTATGGGGCTCCCTGTTCAGCAGAGGGGCCTGCTTTTCCCTCAGCCTACCCCTCCCCCTGCTGTGTTCTCCCACTCTCTGTCAAATAAATAAATAAAATCTTTAAAATAAATAAATAAAATATCAGTATGAAAGAAGGTTTAACTAAGCAAAGAAAACAAAGAAATCTCAGATGAGTGAAAATCAGATCTGAAGATCTAAAAGGAAAAAATATTAGTATCAGAGATTATTTGTACTTAATTGATACAGGTGATACAGTCATCAAATTACTGTTGAACCAACATTAGATCTTAATTGACTTAAAACATATCTATACTGTTACTGCGGCAGTCCCCCCCACCAGACACACACCAGGGAAAAACAATTTACTGACATAGTAAAGTATTATTTTTTTAAAAATCTAAGTAAAGAGACCAGTTGCTTAAAAATCTCAGTTGATTAAGGGTCAAAGGATGATTTCTTTAGACCTGCAAAACAACGCAATATAAACATTTCTAAATAGACATTACTCTGTTTCACACAAAAGTAAAATTCTACGTTATAATCTCTCAATTATGATTTCTATAAATTCACTGTGGTAACTTTATGCAGTTCAGTGTACAGGAATTAGGCCCAACATTTAGTATATCATGGACTCATGCTAACTGCAAACTTAGGAACACATTAATGTGTTGCTATCAGTCAGGAAAAATGTCCCTATTGTTTTTTAAAGGAAGATACCATATTATCAACATATCTATAGAAGCGGTGCTAAGTCCTCTTCACTGATCATAACACGCGTACATTATGTGCATTTGTGCTACGCAAACATCCTTACCTGTAGTACCTGAGAAAGTGTCTTGGAAAGCATCACAGAGATTCCCTGCTTTAGAACCATTTTACTCACCATCCTTTAATTTTTTTGTAAAGGCGATACTTCTTGTGTAAGAGAACTTTAACGGGAACCCATACCAGTAGAGTCACAGAAGCCACATAGGCAATGGAACAGGAAACAATCAGCCAATAATGCGTTTTCCCGGCGCTACCCGCTTTCTTTTGATAGGCAGTGGCAAACTGTTCCATGATCACCAGCGTGGGAGTGGCGAAAGCAACAAACTCAAGAAGCTCAAAAATCAGGAACTTGATGAGTCTTCCAGAAGCCAACCTGAGAAAGGCTAGCTGCTGGTGATCAAACATTCCTGCTTGGGTTGTGAGCAGCGTATGGACACTGATACTGAGCGAGGATCCAGTTCCTTGTCCTGAAATCACTAATCAGTGACTTTTTATTCTTTTATCACCCTCCCATGGTTCAATGATCTTCCAACTTGCTGAGCGAGGTCTCTTAAAAAAACAGAACAGTTGTGGAGATGATGACTTAATGTGTTTGCACGTCCATTATTCAAAGTCAAATGGATTTCTGAATATGCTTTGCAGCGCTGGTAAGAAGCAGGTCTTTCAGTGTAGCTTGGATTGCCAACTTGAGCACCCACCAAAAAATTATGGAATACTTAACATTTGTTAAGTGGAACCATCAGAATCCTATAATTTTAGAGTTAAAGGAGAAGAAGACCTGTAATCCGATCCTCGATTTTTTATCTAAGCAAATCCAGGCAAAAAGAGATACCCAAAACCTGGGTCCTCATCAAGGAAAAGTACCCCTTGTTTTTCTTCAAAGTGTTTGAAAAGAGAGTTTGGATTCACACTGCCAGCCTCCTAACCAGATTTCTTCCTGGTACCTGAACTATCTGTTCTTGCACATTAATTGTTATGTAACCCAGATTAATATTTTTATTTTGCTGGTGAGGGAACCAACATGTGTTGGAAACCTGTTTTCAGGATTGACGCCTTAAGAGCTGTCCATGTCTAGTCCAAAAGTGTATCAAATATTTAAAAGACGACAACTGTCTCCATGAATAGCCTTCTTTCAAAAACTACTTGCGAGCACCTACAAATGAGCACCTCCCCTTTGCTAGCTGCTGGAGTGTGAAGGTGAATGGACATAAGATTTCTGCCCTAAAGATGCTCAAAGTCCAAAAGACAAAACACACCTGGGAACGAGAAAAATCACTGCGGTCAGAAGTATAACCCAAGTGTTATGATAACACAGAGGAGAATTTCCTCTTCGGGCTGTGGGAAGGGGAGGGAAAGATGAGGAGGACAGATGGCAGGTTTTGGGGTGTCAGTAACATTCCAGATACAAAAAAAGAAGGTCAGGAGGCTAGAGCGGTTATGAGAGTCTGGTGTCCCGTGGCAGGAAGTAAGGACAGGTGATGTTAGAAGACGTGGCTGGGGTCAGAATGTCAATGTTCCATGAAGGATCTGGGTGTGGGTGCGGGGTGGGGTGGGGTGGGGTATCTGCATGTGTGGGGTGTGTGTGTGTGTGAGGCAGGCAGCGATAAAGCAATTTTTTCTGGACAGAAGAGCCACTTCCTTGATCATTTGGAAAGGGTGGTGAGAGCTGGTGTGGAGGAGGGACAGGAGCAGTGTTAACCTGGAGGTGGGGAAGCCAGGGGGGAGCCCCAGAGCCGCCTGGGCAGCGGGGAGAGCCTTGGCTGCAACGGATGAAGCAAGAGTGCTGAGGGGAGCACTGATTCTGATCCCTTCCACACACTTGCTTCCTTTGATGGCTTCCCCTGTGCCTCCTGGCAGCCTGAGGCACGCCATTATTTCTCTGGGTTCCTCTCTCCCCAGGCAGGCCCTTTGCAGAAGGGGGCCCTGCGCCGCTTGGCTCCCCGGTGCCCCTAGGATTCTGGTAGCAGCTCTGAGGATTACTTCCTCCTGCACGCCCACTGCAACGCAGTCAGTCAGCCGGTTCCTCAAGCTAGCTATTTTATTTGAACTTGAACTTGCAATCTGCTGATGTTTTGTGGAAGTCCTCTCAAACAAATGAAGAGAGCTGGAAGACTGGTACCAAGAACATGAGAGGACAGGGTAGAAAAACCATGCGAGCACTATTTCTAATACCATATAATTGTCACTGATTCTCCGTGTCACCCCTGACAAAACTTTATATTTAAGACTGGATACAAACTAGACTCTAACCTCCTAGCCCTCTGTCTTGAGTCATCAGTGGTATGTTGTGTTATGATTTCTTCTAGAAATTTTGTGTATTAATAGGAATTGTGACCTGGGCATTTGAAGACAATTGTTGAATAAAATTGCCTGGAACCAAGCAAAAGGACTCTGGGCTAGGTCTTTTTTCTTTTTTTTTTTTTTTAATTTTATTTATTTATTTGACAGATAGAGATCACAAGCAGGCAGAGAGGCAGGCAGAGAGAGAGGGGAAAACAGGCTCCCCGCTGATCAGAGAGCCTGATGTGGGGTTCGATCCCAGGACCCTGAGATCATGACCTGAGCCGAAGGCAGAGGCTTTAACCCACTGAGCCACCCAGGTGCCCCTGGGCTAGGTCTTTAATTCCATTTTAAATACTCATTTTTTTTTATTTCCATGTGTGGGAATTTAAAAATGGCACTCGTTTTATATTTCTCACATCTAATTTTCCTCCAGTTTTTTAAAATTTATTTAAGATTTTATTTATTTATTTGACAGAGAGAGAGATCACAAGTAGTCAGAGAGGCAGGGAGAGAGAGAGGGGAAAGCAGACTCCCTGCTGAACAGAGAGCTCGACGTGGGTCTCGATCCCAGGACCCTAAGATCACAACCTGAGCCGAAGGCAGAGGCTTAACCCACTGAGCCACCCAGGCACCCTTCCTTCCAGTTTCTAATCTCTCTTCACCTTTACCTTCAAAGACAGAGTTCGTGTGATAGGACCCGGAATTCTCTACGGCACAGAAAGCTCTGATAAATAGTCGTGCTGTCTGAACAGGAAGGAGGTTGTGATGCTTGCTCACTGCCCACAATAAGCCCACCTCCTGTAAACAAAAGAGCACCTGTGTTAGCACAGCTTATGAACATTTTCTACGAGCGGATCGTGGTAAGAGACACAGTTCTTCCTCACTTATGTCCCAGTTAGGGATATGTCACCAATGCACAGGTAAGACCTGAGAACATTGATGGACTGAGCTGGGCATGTCAGAGCTGTGAAGGGCTCTCCCGGGCACAGTCCTCCACACCCCTCTCCAGCCACATCTGGATGAACAGGCCCTGGTTCACAGAATGCCCCTCTGTAAACTGGGCCACATGCTCCAGCTTAGAAATCTGAACCAAGAAACACAGGGAGAATTTGGTAAGTGGAATTGCAGGAGGCCATGATCTGGAGTCCGGATTAAAGCGACCCAAACTCTACGTGTGGGCATCCCCCCTGGCATGTTGGGACACTCAGCACTTATTTGCTGAGTGAAGGAAGGAATGAATGGAAGCCAAGTGGTGAGGGGACAGAAGAGTTAGCACAGAAGCCAACGCAGAGAGTGAGAAGACTGGAACAGAGATCAATAGCGAGAGGCAACCAAAAGGCTTACAGAATGGGGTCTTTGGTCTTGGCAACCCAAAGGGGTTGAGTACAAGAAAGGAATATGTTTAGGGGCAGGGGCCAAAGCATATACAAAAACAAGATGTTAAGATGATTCAGAAGAAGGGACTGAAAAAAAATCAAAGTAGAGTTGATCAGAGAGGGCTTCTTGAAGGAGGTGAATTTCGGCCAAATTGATTTTTCTACTGACTCAAAGCAATATCCATATGTAACTTTCTCTGTGCCATATAAGGACAATTTCTTTGAAAATTAGTCCTAAGTCTGTTCATGATATAGAGAGTTAGGAGAGGGGTAGGAGAGAGTAGCAAACTGTAGATGCTATGTATACCAATGCGAATGGCACAATCTCATTTTTCTCTTAAAATATCATCACTGTGGATTGAAGCATAAATTAAAAATCCAGAAATACACTCCTCAGACTAAGAATGCTGTCCCTGGGGAATGGGTGAGGTGGGGTGGAGGAGTTTTCACTCTCAATTAATTAATATTGGCATAGCTGCAATATTTCACTAGCATAAAAATTTGAAAGTAATTACAGATTAGTAACAATCAATTAAACAAAGCAATTCTGGCTTAATAAAAACTTTATGTTCTATTTTTTAAAATCTTTCCTCCACCAGTTTGTTGTCCCTAACTTCTCAGCAAAAGCAACATAAATGAATTGAAATTCCACTTATCCCTTAAATGGCAGCACTAAAGAGCAATGAAATAGCCAAGAGGCAAGCAGAAGATGGGGAGAGCCTTGAATAACTGTTTGCCGGCTACACAGTGGGGACAGAATTTTATAGCCTATTCCTGATCGCACAAGACAGAGGGAAAAGCATAGCCTTCCTCCTGCAGGCCCCACTCTAAGAGTTTCCTCCCCTCTGAAACCCTTCCTTACTCTCCTTCTCCAAACAGAGGGAAGCATGTCCTCCTTTGAGTCGGAACACCTTCTGAATCCTTCTGGATCTGTCCACGCTTGTACTGTAGCACTTGTCTCCCTATATAGTTTGGGCACTGGATCCCCTACAAAAGCTCCCTTTCCCCAGGGAAGCTCCCTGAAGGCAGAGAACACTTGCTTTCATCTTTGTATGGTTGTATCTCAGCATGGTGCTACCACGTAATGGGCCCTTGAAAGATCTCCTGGAAGGAATGGATGGAGATGAAGGGTAAGAGAAGTGGTGGGCAGTAGGGGGAATGTGCCAAGCTTTGATAATGGCTAACTCATCTTTTATTCCAAGAGAATCCTGGCTCTCACACTGATCTTTCAGAAGGAGAAATCACGTATTACCTGTCCCAATACAATCTGTCCACTCAGCCTGTGAGCTTCTATTTCCTTGTGTCGTCCCAATTACAGCCCCCAGAACTCCTTCCTGCACAGCCATGGCTCTGTAAGGTCTCTAGAGAAGAGAGAAAACAAAGCCCCTGGGGAATGCAGTTTCTTCACCTCAAGATGCATGTTAGGAAAAGACCATGCTTCTTATTTATTTATTTATTTATTTATTTATTTATTTATTTATTTGACAGAGATCACAAGTAGGCAGAGAGGCAGGCAGAGAGAGAGGAAGGGAAGCAGGCTCCCTGCTTAGCAGAGAGCCCGATGTGGGGCTCGATCCCAAGACCCTGGGACCATGACCTGAGCCGAAGGCAGAGGCTTTAACCCACTGAGCCACCCAGGCACCCCAAGACCATGCTTCTTTACAAGCATTCACAAAGACATAGGTCCCAGTGTTACAATATCTTTCCCAACCTTTTCTAATCTGTATGTCCTCAAAAATGCATATCCCATAATGGATATGAACCATTAACAAAGGAGGCTGGAGAGGACTGGCTGGTATTTGTCTGGACCAAGACATAGCCTCCAATTACTTAAGAGTCCTCAGCTCTTCTAAGGGATCTAAAATAGTCTCAAATTTCCGTAACAGATTGGGAGGCAGGGTAGGTTCCTTCAGCAGGCAGAGAGAACAAGCTAGCCTGGCAAAGAACAGAATGCCATTATAGCAACATTAAGCTCCTGGGAGGAAACAATGCTAGACCCCTCACTTGGAGACAAAGTCAAAAGGAGATGAGAGAGGGTTTGAAATCACCTACCCTTCCGCTGAGACCAGTTTATGCCAATCCCGATTCTTTCCCTTCTAAGTCCCCTTACGATTCCGTCATGAAACTGCAGGGCCAGTAACTGGAAGGACACGCAGGGGGACATTTTCATACCCCCAAATTCTTGACTTGGATTCATCCAAGACCAATTCAAAGAACTCTGCCCCTTACTCTGCCCTTTAATGCTGGGTTTAACAACTTCCTGGTAGGAAACAGATCTGGTTTTCTGGAGCTGGGTCTGTGGTGGAAAGACTGAGTCTTGCGGTTAGAACTCACTTCCACGTAGGAATGTTGATGCAGTGTTTTTTATTTTAGTAAGCAGAAGATATCATGCTGTCCGGGGTAACACCTGTTCTCCACACTTCCAACTGTCACTTCCTTCCTGCAGGCAGGAAGTCAAAAATTCAAAGTCTCTTAAATTGTTAGTAGGATCATGTGTAATCTCAATGTTTGTTCATTGTTTTCAGTGTAGGGTCTGTGAAACAAAATGTACAGACAGCCAGGAATGTTCCGGCATATCTGGGGTTTGTTTCCTGTGATCATATGGTGTTGATGTGCAGAAAGGCAGGAGCTGGGGGCAGTGAAATTGCTCTACAGATCAAGCTGGATCTGCGGAGAGCCTCAGGAAGAGATTGGATCTAATTACTGATTATTTGTAATTTCCAAAGAGTATTTCCAAAATGCAATACCAATCCTCATAAGCAGTTGTCACCAAACAAATCACACGAAGTGAATTCAGTAAGATTATATCACCAACAGATTGTGCCCCTTTTTGTAATGTTATGCTATCACAGTCTAGATGACGTTCAGTTTTTACTACGGGAAAAAAGGACAATTTCATCTCCTTGACTACTAAATAAACAACTTTGTAAGAGCAAGGACAATAGCACATTTGCTTATACAACCCTTTTAATATCTGGTTTTTACTTAGTGATGCTATTCTTGAAATTAACAAAATTTAGAGGCTGTCCTTACTTTTGTAAAAATAATAATGCTCCCCTGAAATATTTTTTCTGTTAAAGGTGTCCAGATCTCAAACATTGAAAGACAGAAAGAAAGATGATTTAAGATTTCCCATTACACAAATTGTGTGTAGTGGCATACAAATGGGAGCTAATCATTAAAAATAGACTATTAAAGAAAAGAGGAAGTTACTTCATTCTGTACAGTGATTCTCAGATTTTATATTTTAAGAGACTACAACAGTCTGGGTTAGCTTTTCAGTATTCCAAAGTTAACAAATTTAAGCAAATAAATAAATCCTATTTAAATGTAGATGCAGCCCTAATTAATTATTGCACATTCATCCCGAAGTTCACGAAAATGATTTAATCTGTATTTCTCAAATCTTCGCTGCTAAGGACTTGGTAAGTTTGTAGCTCTCCAATTTTTCCTTATTTAAGATAAAATAACTTGAAAACATGGGGGCGCCTGGGTGGCTCAGTGGGTTAAGCCTCTGCCTTCGGCTCAGGTCATGATCTCAGGGTCCTGGCATCGAGCTCCACATCAGGCTCTCTGCTCAGCAGGGAGCCTGCTTCCCCTTCTTTCTGCCTGCCTCTCTGCCTACTTGTGATCTCTCTCTCTCAAATAAATAAATAAAATCTTAAGAAAAAAATAACTTTGTTTCACTTATTTGTGGAGTATAACAAATAGCGTGGAGGACAAGGGGAGTTAGAGAGGAGAAGAGAGTTGAGGGAAATTGGAAGGGGAGGTGAACCATGAGAGACTATGGACTCTGAAAAACAACCTGAGGGGTTTGAAGGGGCGGTGGGTGGGAGGTTGGGGGAGCCAGGTGGTGGGTATTAGAGAGGGCACGGATTGCATGGAGCACTGGGTGTGGTGCAAAAACAATGAATACTGTTATGCTGAAAATAAATTAAAAATTTAAAAAAATCCTTGAAAACAGTATTAGTGGACATGGCCAGATCTTTGTGAAGTCCACAGAAATGACAACTATCCAGTTATTTTGGTTAATGTAGATAAGAGAAAATTTCCAAGTGGTATGCCTAAATGCAGTGCTCCCTCACTCCACTGGGTGGAGCAAGTTTTGTTTTGTTTTAATCACAGATTTTAAGTCCGTATTTTTAATGATATTATGGATTTGGAATTTTCTAACCCAAATTTAAAAATTTAAAATTAAAATTTAGACTATAAAATTTAGATTATAAAGGCATACAAGTTTTAGGTCTTCTTGTACTATGTATATTTGGCCCACTTAGTTCCAAAAACATTTAATAAGTAAGTTTGCTTATCTCTCCTCTGTCCAAAGCCACCAGTGGCTTCCCACCTTGTTTTGAGTAAAAGCCCATAGTTTTACCAGAATTTTCAAGGGTTTCCAGACTCTTCCCCACCCACCTTTCGGTCTAACTTAATTTCCCATTATTCTCCCTCTCGCTATTCTCTTCAATATTCTCCAAGCATGCCAGACATAGAGGTTCCACCCATTATGAAGACTTTGTCCTTGCTATTCTCTCCCCCAAAACATCCAAAGAGCCAACTACCTCATTTTCTTTAGGTCTTTACATGAATGACACGTCAGCTGTGAGACTGCTTATCCAAAATGTCAACACACCCCCTTCCTTAATTTCCTGATATTTCCCCTCCTTTATTTTTCCTCTTATTTACTTAACAACAACATGTTTATTTGACTTGCTTATTATATTGTCTGCTCTCTCACCTGGAACGTAAGTTTCTTTAGGGCAGAAACTTTTACCAGTTTTGATCTCTGTTATATACTCAAAACTAGACTAGTGCTTGGCACATAGTAAAATCTCAATAAATATTTGTTGACTGAGTGACAGAATTAATTTACAAATGAACTGAGTGGACCTCAATGCTAGCTTTTGTGCTAATGCCAGTATATGAAGATGACCAAGACACATTCTCTGCCCTTATAAGCTTACAGTCTAATTAAACAGACAGACATTTCCACAAGTGATTTCAATAGAAGCACAATGAGAGATGTACACCCAAGTCACTGGAAGCATAGAGGAGAGCAACATGGAGTTTCAGGTAAAGCTTCCTAAAAAAAAAAAAAAAAAAGAAAAGAAAATAGGCACATTTTCTGTGCTCGGGAAGCTAGTCTAGCTATAGAAATACAATACTCAAAAAAAACAAAAGGAAAATTTAAAACTATCTTGAGACAAATGAAGATGAAAACACAATATACCAAAGCTTAAGGGATATAACAACAACAACAAAAAAGTACTAAGAGTTTACAGTGATAAGAAAGATCTCAAACATGCAACCTAAATTTATATCTCAAGTAACTAGAAAAAGAAGAACAAATGAAACCCAAAGTTAGTAGAAGGACGGAAATAATAAAGGTCAGAGAAGAAATAGATAAAATAAAACATTGAAGAATACAAAAATAAACAAAACTAAGTTTTTTTTTTTTTAAGACTTTTATTTATTTATTTGACAGAGAGAGACACAGTGAGAGAGGGACCGAAAACAGGGGAAATGGGAGAGGGAGAAGCAGGCTTCCTGCCGAGCAGGGAGCCTGATGCAGGGCTTGATCCTAGGTCTCTAGGATCATGACCTAAGCTGAAGCAGCTGCTTAATGACTGAGCCACCCAGGCACCCCTAAGAGTTGGTTTTTAAAAGACAAAATCAACAAACCCTAGCTAGACCAAGTATGAAAAAAAGAGAGAAGACTCAAATAAAATCAGAAATGAAGGATGAGACATTACCACTGATGCCACAGAAACAAAGATATCATAAGAAACTAATATGAACAATTATATGATGAAAAGTTGGACAACTTAGAAGAAATGGATAAATTTTTAGAAACATAAAACCTACAAATAAATCAAGATGAAACAGAAAGGGGCATGTGTCCAACTCTTGATTTTGGCTGAGGTCATGATCTTAGGATCAGGGAATTGAGCCCTGCATCTGGCTCTGCGCTAGGCCTGGAGCCTGCCTAAGGATCTCTTTCTCCCTCTCCCTCTGCCCCCTTCTTTATGCACACACATGCATGCATTCTCCCCCTCTCTCTTGCAAAAAAAAAAAAAGAAAGAAAGAAAGAAAAGGAAACAGACAGACTAAACAGATCAATAATAAATACTGAGTAATAAATACTGAGATTGATCAATAATCAGGAACCTCCTGGAAAAAAAAAAAAAAAAAGCCCAGGGTCTGTGTTTTCATAGGCGAGTTCTATCAAACATTTGAAAATAATTAATAGTAATCCTTAAACTCTTCCAAAAAAGAAAGGGAACACTTGCAACTTCATTTTATAGGCCAGCAATCATCCTCATATCAACACCAGATAAGAAAACTAGAA